TTTGTAGCCATCCACTTTCAATCTTAACACTTTCTGTTACCTTCTAACATCTATTCATTTAAATATTCGCATTTAAAATATTAGTAGCTAACTGTTGCTCGCGACTTCGTCCCCGTGAACAAAAAATTATAATGAAAGACAAAGCCTATGTTACTCACTGATAACGTAACTTTTTAATGGTGGTATTTTAAAAATCGGCCCATTAATTTTTTCATTTTATTGCATACAAAAATACAAATCTTTTCCCTTTTATATTAGTACTAGCTGTTCCCGTGCGACTTCATCCGCATGAAATTATGAAAATTTTATTTTATTGTTCACATTTGTCAAATTATCAATTGAAAATGTTAAAATGACATGACACGAAAAACCTTGGCAATCTTGCTTCTTGATGTTGGCAACAACTTATGGTCTCTTTCCCACATTAGAGTTTAATTAAGAGACGTGAAAATCTATAGCCTAAAGCGTGAGGTACGAGTAGGGCTTTTTATTAAAAAAAGAGTTATTCGAAAGTATGCTGTAATTGCTGAGATCTTAGGCAACAAAGAAGTGTGTGTTTACGCTTTATTATAATAATATAGATAGATATAGATATATCAGTATGATCTACACGTAAATTTAATTAAATTTATTTAAAACAGATATGTGATATAAAAATTAATGCTGGTATAAAAATATAGGTCGTCGGTGAATTAAATTCTGAAAGTATGTACATATGTACATCTTGTGCGATGTTATGCGGAAAATGTGTATCACACGTGAATTCTGCCCAGCCAAATGGAAAATATGAAATTCACAGTCCGTTGCAAACCTAGTGCTGGGAATTAAATAGCGTTTACGTATAGCCTTGTCCACGATTTTTTTATATTATAACGATTTTATATTTTTAATTAAAATAAAAATTCCGTATAATTTTTTTTATAAAAATATTAGTAGATATTTTGTTAATTTACTAATAATTTCTTTAACCAGTCAAACTAAGCTAAAGGTTGGTGCTATGATGGTTCACGACAACAGTCGAATGGCAGGATTCGAACCCTCGACGGCAAGATCGGTTGTCCGTACCCCAAACCATTAGATCATTGGCACTTTTTGTTTTAGATGTTATGAAAATTCCTTTTATGCACTGATCTGTACTTCGGATCTGATCTGTGTTTGATTGTTTCAATTTCAACCATTTTGATATTATTCACAATTAAATCTATCTTTTTAAAGTTATTTTGTCTCCGACTGGTTAGATTTTACATGAAAATAAAATAAAATAAACATATACAATCTTTCTTTATAATTATGGTTAACAAATGATACCGCCAGCGCTAAGAGGAGATCAACACAAAATACCACAATAAAACCTGTCCATTTATGGTGATCATTACTTTTATTTCGTAAAAAAATTGTTAATTAGATTTTTTGATATAAAAGTCTTCTAAACTCAAAAAGGCAATTTCAAAAGTACTTTTAACACTGGAAAACTGTAATAACTGCGGCTTTATTATTTTTTTTTACTCCGAGCGGAAGAAGGTAGTTGATCTTTTTATCGTAGATCGTATTGGTATAAAAGTTATGATGGATAACTTTGTTAAACGTTCCCGGATGCTTAATTGTACAAGTTTGTTCTACTTGATATGATTTTCTGTTCTCACAAACTTATAAGTAGATAAGATTTGTGATACAGTAATAAAGTAAAGATTTTAATTTTTGTATCTATACTATTATAATAAAGCGTATACACACTGCTGTGTTGCCTAAGATGTCAGCAATTGCAACATATTTTCGAATTACTCATTTTTATAATAAAAAGCCCTACACTCACGCGACGCTTTAGGCTATATATTTTCACACCATAAAACTTAGGGGATAAAAACCCTAATGTAGGAAAGAGACCATAAGTTGCTGCCAACATCAAGGAAGCAAGATTTCCAAGGTTTATCATGTCATGTCATTTTGACATTTGCTATTGATAATTTGACAAATGTAAACAATAAAATAAAGTTTTTATAATTTCATGCGAACAAAGCAGCACGAGAACAGCTAGTACTTGTAATGTTCGTTTTGTTTATTTAATTTCAAAATTTTGTTTGCAGTTAGAATGCTACATGCAAACACTTGTGGTTATTTCAATCTTTCATTTCTAGAGATTTGATTTATTTTTCCTGCAATGTTATGTATGTAAATATTAAATAATATCGTAACTTAAAGTATATCCCAACCAGAAATATAAAACACCTTATGGTGTGATATATGAAGAGAGCGTCCCGAAACAACCTTTCTATATATTCCTGGTTATACTAATATTGTAAAGAGGAAAGATTAGGATTTTTGTATCATCCACTTGCCCTTACCCCCTACGAAGGGTCGGCACAGTATGTGCTGCTCTTCTATACATCTCTATCAGCCGTCATATCTGAATCCACTCCTTTCTTACGCATATCCTCTTTCACACAATCCATCCATACTTTCTTCAGTCTTCCTCTTCCTTTGTAGGCATCCACATTCAATCTTAACACTTTCTGGTTTATGTCCCCATCATTTCGTCGCATAACATGTCCATACCACGCTAACCTTGTATATATAGAAATAACTCAAAAACTACAGGGCCGATATTAATAATTCTTGCACCATTAAAAAGCTCTGCTATCACTGAGTATAGGCGATATTATTTCTTAATTCCTCATGGACGCAGTCGCGAGCAACAGCTAGTGATATGTAAAGTTTATGTAGATGTATGTTTAACCCGAGACTTGATATAACACGGTTAGACTGGTAACATTTATCGTGCATAGTTAATTAAATTGACACCCAGCTCGGCCCGGAGAAACTAATTGCGTTTGCACCTAAACATTGCCCGGAGCTTTAACGGTCAACTTTACATACACTGCTACTCAGAATCACTCAATAGTAATTTCAAAAATGCTATTGCGTTTTTTAAAACTATATCTAATCCAAGGTAAGTCACTAGCTTCCGTCCCCGTGAAATTAAGAAAGTAAGTAGCCTATGTCGTCTTTCAGACTGTGTTCTACATCTATGCCAAAATTCATCGAGATTCGTTCAGCAGTTTAGGCTACAAACTCTAACAAACATCCATCTACTTTCGTATTTATGATATTCTTAAGATAAAACATACTAAGAGTAGGTCCTTTAATTTCTAAACCTTTTTATTCCCCCCCTTTTATATTAAGGGGTGTAATGAGTCCCCCCCCCATTGGAAGTCTTATGTAAATAATGAGTCCCTAAACAATTATTTTATATATATAATATTTTAAGGTGGACTTTTATTAAAACGGTATTAAAAATCCAAACTATTCAGACAACATTCTCAATATTAATTATTAAAAGTTACTATTATGATAAAATATGCTATCCCATATTAATCTTTTATAGAAAGACCACAGAATAATTAAAACTCAAGCTTTGGAGCGATAGTTCCACCAGTATGAAAGTCCTTTGTAGTCGGCTTTGCTCTACAAACGTTTATTTTGAGCTTTAGCTTCACGTTGTATGTGACTGCAAGCTTAGTATACGTATAGCTATGAAACTAGCTCTAACATACTACGCCTTAAGAAAGGAATAGAGTCGAAAGCACAATAACAATCTTTATTTTCTAAAGAAACTTAGTTACATTTTTTTCTGTCTAAAATCAAAATAAAAATGCATTTTTACGAATTATTCCGGAGTGTAAATAACAAAAAAATATGGGAATTAAAACTTCGTTTTAAATTAAGAGTGTTTTAATTTTTTTTTTAATTTTAAAGTCATAATGCTTTTCTGGCTTTTCCTAACATAGTATAAGCTAAATGTTTATCTTTCGGAACGTATTAGAGCGTGAACACCTTAAACTAAACTATCGCACAACTGTTTAGTCTCTCTTTGATTCGTAAGAGTTGGTATGAGGTGCACATACTACTCTAGTTGTGCAACTATAGTGTGTCTAAATAATTTAGATTAGTTTGATAAATGACGCATATGAAGTATCGAATTCAATTTATATGAAGTCAAATGCCATACTTAATAGACAGGTATCGTAGGGACGAAACAAACACACATAACGAACAATTTTGAACTATCGATATTCGGTTTAAACAATTATCAAACTCAACTAATTTTTTTATTTTCCTATTCACTAATTTAGAGGACAATTCTAGTGTGGATTATAGTGTAGAGACTTTAGCGATGACAGAAATAATAGCGAAATCCAATTTGATTATGTACGGCTGTAGTAGTAATAAACATTTATTTGTTATGGTCATTATTATATTTGAGAAAACAGTGTTTTTTTTTTTTTAATTCATAAATTATAACTATAAATCTATCGATTCCAACTTCTATTAGAATAAAAATCGAAAATCGATAAGATTCATGACTGATTCTACACAACCCATCCCTACTAAATTTAAAGTGAATTTTCAAAGTAATCTAAATGATTTAGACACACTATAAACAGTTTAGTAGGCTGCGAAACAATCGACAACCGCATAACTTGTTTTACGTTAGTTTATTCAAAGGTGTTTGCCCGCTCTTAAGCGACATACAACATAGAATAGAATTGTTAAGAGAAATTCATATCGGAAGTCCGTAAAAAGATGGTAAAGCAATAAAAGCTGTAGTAACATGAAAACTATAATGCGAAGGGAAACTCACGGCAACTCGTAAATGCTGTTTCCAATTTATGCAGTGACGAAATAAACTCGTGTTTACAAACTTGTGTTTGTTTTCTAAACTATGAAGTATTTTATAACTTCGATAATATAGACTACTAGCTTTCGCCCGTGGCTCCGTCCTTGGAATTAAAAAAACAAAATATTTGTGTTCTTCCAGACTATCCTCTACATCTATACCAAATTTCTTCGAAATCGGTTCAGCCGTTTAGGCTACAAACTCTAACAAACATTCATCTATCCATCCATCTTAACTTGCGTATTTAAAATATTAGTAAGATAAAATGACAACTTAGGTACCAAATTCTTTGTTAGTAAGTCCCTTAAATGTTTATTAAGGGACCCCTAACTTTAAATGTTTTGTTGGTGAGATACGCTACTACTTCACTTACGTAGATAAGAGGTCGAATTCTGTAACGTTGAAGTGTTCATCCCAGTGACGTCACGACATTAAACAATTGAACGACTTTCAAGTATGAAATTAATTTTATGATAGCGTTATTTGCGTTGCTTTTGCTAAGCAGATTTATGTCAAGGTTTTGAACATCTGAATACGTTTGAAGGCTTAATGATATCATGATAAATGACAGACTGAATTTAAGCTTCTTATGTAAGTAATGAGATGGCAAATAGCAGTACAATTTATATCAAAGATCTCTATTGAGTTCTTATTTTGTATATCGGAAGCGAAACCACGACCACCTGAATTCTCCAAAAAAGAGAAACAACCGCTGCCCATAGACATCTTCAAAAAAAGATGTCTACTTTTAATGAATGAAAGAGGAGATGCACAGACAAGTGAACGTCATTTTAAGGCGACTAGGGAAAGCTGTCAGCTGGGAACCTAGCACGAAAATTTTCCATGTAATATCCGTAATGTTATCGACATTTTAATGAGATTTTTAAATATACTTTACGCCCGATTCAAATAAAAAAAATGTCCACAACATTAAAATTACTTTTGTGCTAGAAGGTAAAATGTTCCTTTTCTCAATTCAAAACGTAATTTTGATATTTCCAGAGATACGAAACAATTTCTGAACGAAGATTATACTTTGTTTTAACAACCACATTTTCGTTTGTAATTTGTTTTCGTAATAAGCGAATTAACTCGTATGTGAAATCTGTTTGTTTGCGAACGAAATGGGTACACGAAACGAAATTAAAACGAGAAAATCTTCCGGGAATAGATTAACAAGGGGCTATCGTGTTACTTGTAATTGCGTTTGCGTCATTTGTACATATTTAAAGTATTTTATAGATCTGTTATGCTGAAGATTTCTGGTTTATTGTTCATAAAATCATCGCCAACCATTAACAAAGGAGGCCATGTTGATGACGTTTTCTTCCCGCCTATTTTATAATGAAATTCGATGCCCACAATATAATTAGGTAGATAACTAGTAATGACAATAATATCTTTAGAATAGGCGTTTTGAAGTGCTGAAAATTAAAAACCCGAGTGTATTTCGCTTAATAATAAGCAAATAAATAGTCCATACTAATATAATAAATCGAAAGTTAAGATGAATGGATGTTCGTTAGAGTTTGCGGCTTATACGGCTGATATGTTCTCGATGAAATTTGGTACAAATGTAGAGCATAGTCTGGAAGAACAGGCTACCTAATTAATTTTAAATATTCCACGCGGTCGGAGTCGCGGTAGAAAGCGAGTAATAATAATAAGTCAGATGGAATATCAATTATTAAAATGTCTATCGCAATCAACGGAGTGTCAAAACACGACGTTTGCGTTTCTGACTGAATTATTTCGTTTTATGGTCAACATTTCAATTAATTCCCTCAATCCTCAAGAGAGACGACCCAATATCATTCTAATTAGATCAAGTATATTTAGAACAGGTGTGTACTACCATTCTACTATCTATTCCCTGGTTATGACGTCACAGTAGGCTTGGACAGTCTGCAAAACAGTTTAAACATTAATGTAATTAAAATAAAGAATACTCTTGATTTGTCGCTTGTACCTACGTGATTCTAATATTTATTGCAAGATATGTTTACAATTACAACCAACATAGGCCGTCTTTCAAATTCACGTAAATTCACATGGACGTTTTTTATATTCATAACAATATAAAATATAGTCTGTGTTACTAAGGAACAAATGTTAAATTTATTTTGTAATTTTTTATTCTAATCATTATAGTTGTTCGCGACTTCTTCCAAGTGTAATTTGATAATATAGCCTATGTTACTCACAGATAAGTTACCTTTCTAACGATGAAAGAATTTTTAAAATTGAGCTAGTACTTTTTCCGTGAATCAAATACGTACAAAAATCCAAAAATACAAATCTTTCTTCTATCTATACTATTATAATAAAGCGTGAACACACACTTCTTTATTGCCTAAGATATCAGCAATTACAGCATATTTTTAAATAACTCTTTTTTTAATAAATACCCTACACTTACGTCACGCTATAGGCTATATATTTTCACGCCGTTAAACTTAGGGGTAAATATTTTGGATAAAAACCCTAATGTGGGAAAGAGACCATAAGTTGTTGCCAACATCAAGGAAGCAAAGTTGTCATGGTTTGACATCATGTCATGTCATTTTGACATTTTCAATTGATAATTTGACAAATGTTGACAATAGAATGTTTTTTTTATAATTTCATGCGGATGAAGTCGCACGGGAATAGCTAGTCAAGTATATAGGCAAACATACAACAATACAATCCCTACTCTTTCTTATATTACTTTAGATTGTAACTAATAATACTTTCTATTACAGGTACAAAACTATCACCATCATATAAAAAACTCTAAACAGAACAAAACAGTGAGATCATTTTGTACTCGTGAAAGTGAAATTGTAAACAATGTGCAGTGAAAAAGTGGGTATTGATTTATCCGTTGCTTGCTCTGCGATTGGCCGCCGTGACGTCATCGCTGGGTGTCAGTGAGAATCAAAGATGGCGGACAAGATTAGCTGATCGGAAAGCGGCGCGCGCAGGCCACGCACCAAGCGGCGAATCAGGCGCATCATGGTAATTAATTGTTCAATAACTTCAGGAGAATTTAATCTATACTAATATAATAAAGCGTAAACACACACTTTTTTGTTGCCTAAGATGTCAGCAATTACAGCATATTTTCGAATAACTCTTATTTGAATAAAAAGCCCTATACTTACGTCACGTTTTAGGCTATATATATTCACGCCATTAAACTTAGGGGATAAATATTTTGGATAAAAACCCTAATGTGGGAAAGAGACCATAAGGTTGCTGCCAACATCAAGAAAGACAGTTTGCTAAGGTTTGTCATGTCATTTTGACATTTGCTATTGTTAATTTGACAAATATAAATAATTAAATGAAATTTTCAAAATTTTTTTCGTAGCAAGTCCTTTTCATAGAATCAGATGTCTCATTATTCCCACCCTTTGCGTTACCCTAAGTAGGATGTGCTCATTTTAGAATGCTACGGCAACTGCTCGATACGAAATCGTACTAACATTTGGTTGTTGTGCAGCAGGTGTTCGGGGAATGGGCGCAAGTGGAAGTAGTGGAGCTCGTCAACGATGGCTCGGGGCTGGCGTTCGGCATCGTCGGCGGCCGCTCCTCCGGCGTCGTCGTTAAAAGCGTGCTGCCCGGCGGTGTCGCTGATAGAGTGAGTACCAAAGCGTTCGCGTATTGAAGTTTAGTATTAAATAGCTTGTTTTTTGTCTTTGTCTAGTTAGGCATATCGAATACGGAGTAGACTAAATTTGTTTAAACAAAGTCGCTTGTAAGACTTAAGACAATCTTTGTCAATCAACTCGCAGTGAGCCAGCGTGGTCGACTAAGGCATATACCCCTAATCGAGTCCCACGGTGAAAACATAGTGAGCTGATGATGATGATTGGTGATTAGTGATTACATAAGCACTTATTATACAACTTGAAAAATAATTAATAAAATTTTACTCTTATAAAACTTAAAAACAACCAAAAATGAACACTACAGAATTGTGGTGTAGCAATAAAGATTTGTTCGATACACTGTGCGGTCGCCCGGTGCCAAGGAGACGAGAATTATTGTCACCGCATTGCTAGCGTCCGAATAAACACATTGCTCGAGTTTGTTAATAGCTTGTGTGCTTTTAACTCTAATGAAGTAAAATGAAAAACTGATGCTATGAAGGAGAAGTAAGAGGCAAGTAACATTACTATGTTCTACTAATATTATAAACGAGCTGTTGCCCGCGACTTCGTCCGCGTGGTATTAGAAAACATACGAACTATATAAATGACAAAAAGCTACGTATCCCTCGGGATCCGGACACTTGGGGATGAAGCTTATGCCATGTATACTCCAGACTTTGTTTTACATCTGTGCCAAATTTCAATACGATATGTTGAACCGTTGCAGAATGATCGAGTAAACATTAAAAAACTAAATTAATGAATCCCACGGGAACCGTAACTATTCCCGGGATAAAAAATAGCCTATGTGTTCTTCCAGACTATGCTGTAAACCTGTGCTAAATTTCATGGAGATCCGTTCAGCCGTTTAGGCTACAAACGCTAACAAACATCCATCCATCCATCCATCTATCCATCCATCCATCCATCCATCCATCCATCCATCCATCCATCCATCCATCCATCTATCCATCTATCCATCCATCCATCCATCTAAACTTTCGCATTTATAATATTAGTAAGATGTGAAAGTTTAGGTACATGTTTGTTATCACGTATCTCCAAAACATATTAACAGAACTTATTGAAAATTGGTATAGAATTAGTACGTAGTCTGGAAGAATTTAAAATTTTTGAAACCTGTGCATTACTTCCACCTTTCCTTATCAAACTAATTTCCTTCTAAAACTAAATTAAGTTAACGTAAATTAAACTTTATGGGAAGCTATCGCTCATAATAGACTTAGTTGTTCAAACCATTTAAACTTGA